GTATGTGCCTTTTCGAATAATTATTTCTCTTGAACGAAAAAAGCTAATGAAGTATAAAAGATTGTGATTGAAAGAGCGAAACTATGAAAATATGTTTACATAGAGACATGAAGGATGTTTGATCATGCTTTTTCGTTCATTTTTGGTTTTAAAGTCTGTTGTACGGAAAAGTACTATGTCGATCGCTATAACAAAATCACTCATTGTGACATCACGTATGACTGATAATAATTTTTAAAATATGCTGCGGTTGCTGTCGAATTTTGCGGAATAATAATACATAATAATAATAATAATAATAATACAAATGTTAAAAATTACAAATAATAAGTTAAAATTATCGTATTTATCTTTTACATCTATAACTTACAAGCATGTAACATAATTTCATAATTAAAAAATCCTTAAAAACATATATATTGTATATACATTTATATATTGTATTTTATATTTATATATTCTATATTCTAGACATTATTGATTTTATCATTTAATTCAATTTCATCATCTCGGGAAGACATAGATTCATGACTTATATTTGAATAATTTTTTAATGACAACCCTTCATTAATTATGTATTGAAAGAAATTGCCAAATATGCCTAAATTTAGCCCTAAAAAAAAATGATAAAAGTATATAATTATCGAATTAATTAAAATAATTCAACTAATTAGAAGATATATAGAGTTTCTTTTTTTACCTACTAGAGCAATTATAGCTAAAAGTTCATATTTATGCTATACATTTTATAAATCAAATTAATTAATATTTTTCAAAAAAAAATTTTTTAAAAAAATTTAAAATAAACCCTTACATTCAAAAGGTTTGCTATCTTATTAATCAAGGCAGAAGTATATTGTAAAATAAACACTAAAATATAGGTCATAACTTTTTTGTAAACCTTTCTTTCAAGTTTATCTTTTAATAAACTATTGCTTATTGTTGTACCTTCGCTACCATTACTAATACTACTGTTATGATCAGCCTTTTTAATTAAAATTAAAACATAAAGATAACAAAATATTATAATCGATAATAATGATAATATTGACACAACAATCATCGTTGAAAAAATTTCATTGCTTTCATCAGGTGCACACCTAAAAATAAAAATTTATTAATAAAAAATTTTTTTTTAATATAAAGATTTAAAAATTTTTTACCAATATTTCTGTTTTGGAGTACCACGAACTGAAAGTGACATATCAATGATAGCTATTGAAAATACTGGTACCCATAATTTATAATCGTACTTCCCAAAATCAATATTCACTTCTCTAACCACTCTCAACCAGGTAGTGACTGATATAGCAGCAACCAAATGTATAGTTAAAGCTGTTGAAAAAACTAATAATGAACTAATTACTTCACAAGCCGGAGATTCTAGAGGCTCTCTATAGGCTGCACCATACCCCTTTATAATATTATTAATTTATAAATTATTTATTTATTTATTTATTTATTATTCAAAAGAAATAATAAATATACACTCACGTGATTTATTAAAGAAACTAATGATACGAGAATATCTAATATTAAATTTTAATTAGAGTTTATTAGATTTATTAGAATTAAAATTAATCCTTCAATTCACTAATTTACCTGTCAAAGCAATATAATATGGAAATCTAAGTGACATAGGAATTGCTGAACGAGATTTCCTCCATCTTAGGTATGTACCTGAAACAAAATATTTTTCTTGTTAATAATCAATGTTTTTTTAAATCTTTGAAAATCAGAAATTTGTCTTACGTAAAATAATGTATGCACATCCAATAAAATTACAGATAATGATAACCAATGAAACTATAAGAACCGTGTAAATTAAATCTGGCGCATTATTATTATTATTATCGGTATTTGAATCAGTGTCGTTTGATGCTGACAAACTGTATGCAAATGGTATTTGCGTTAATTCTAGAATTAAAAATATTTTATTGATATTCGAGGTTTTCAATAGCATTTTATAAATTTATTGACTATTCATAATATTTTCGTTTTATAAATGAATGTGAAGAATAATTTTCGCTGCGAGAAAAAAAGCGAGCTATTTTTATTTTTTTTTTATTCACAATATTATGTAATCGAAATTATTTTCTTTGTAATCTGAAGAATAGCACGGCTCGCTAATAAAGAAAAATCAAAATAAAGATTGGTTTTAATTAAAAACTTACAAATCGGCTAATATTTGTTATTTCGTCCATACAATTTATTTGTAATTATTATGTAATTCAATTTGTGCCTTCATTGCTCTAACTGTCTCCACCAATTGTATTATGGTAATAGTTGGACATGACCCAAAATGTTATTTTAGAACCGGTTTTTTCAGTAGGATGTAAAAACATTCACTTAATTTGCATGTGTGACGTAGATCCCATTACGCAATCGAATTCATTGAATTAATATACTGTATATATATAGTAGCATAATGGACTGGAGTTGGTCACAATGGTTGAAATTTATTATATGCGGATTTTTTAATGTTACACATATATATCATCAAAACATTATATATAGCAATATCATTGAAGATTTAGATAAACTTTAAAACGTAAAGGCTCAATAACCAAGCAGGCTGTGGGAATAAACTTTCCTCAATTGTATTTCCAAACACTCAATAAATAGTCTATCAGAGAGTTTTTTCATTTATATTAGTAAAGAATTTTTTTGTAAAGGTTCAAAGTTATCAATTTTGTTGATTTCGCTATAAAATGAAATTTAGATAAACTTTAAAATCTAAAGGCTCAATAACCAAACAAGCTGTGGGAATAACCATTCCGCGATTGTATTTCCAGACACTCAATTAATAACCGATCAGAGAGTTTTTTTTAATTTTTATTAATAAAAAAATTTTTTGTAAAGGGTTCAAAGTTGTCATTTTACTATTAACAATGGAAATTTAGATAAATTTCAAAATCTAAAGGCTCAATAACCAAACTAGCTGTGGGAATAATCTTTCCACGGTAGTATTTCCAAACACATAGTTAATAACCTATCAGAGAGTTTTTTTCATTTTTTTTAATAAAAAAATTTATTGTGAAGGTTCAAAGTTATTGATTTTGTTGATTTACTATTAACAATGGAAATTTAGATAAATCTCAAAATCTAAAGGCTCAATAACCAAACTAGCTGTAGGAATAATCTTTCCATGATTTTATTTCAAAACACTCAATTAATGACCGATTAGAGAGTTTTTTTCATTTTTATTAATAAAAAAATTTTTTGTAAAGGTTCAAAGTTATCAATTTTACTATTAAGATTTGCTTTGACAATCCTCCTTTTTTAAGGAAATGTTAAAATGTTATTAAATTAATATTACAAATTTTATTTTGTATAAACTTTCAAGTTTTAGGAAAATTTGTTCAAATAAAATTCCAAAATTTCACAGAAAAATAAGAGTAATTCAACAGGCTCGTCTAATCAAAAAAGAGAAAATTTATGCTCCAATTGAAAAAGAAAATAGTTTACCCATAGATCTTGACAATTCATTTATAGTAACCAATGATTCCTTATCCAGAGATATTTCTCCATCCCAAGATGTCTTTGATTCAATTTTCCAAAATGCATCAAGTGTTTACCCACAAAATATTTTAGATCACCCATCTGTTAATGTTATAGACCACAATAATATGGCAGAACTTAATACTAAGACAAAGCAAATTAGAATTAAATTAATCAATAAAATAAATAATTTAGATGAAAAAGAATTAATTGCTTGCTCCCAATTGTTTGAAAACATGAGATATCCAGATGGTACACATCAAGGTGAGATTTTGTCCCCTTATTTGCAAAAAAAAAGCCATGGAATGGGTCCTAATAACTAAAGACAAACATCAGAATAATGAATCTGAGATAAAGGAAATTAAAAAATTAAAAAAAAAAATTGAAAATCTTAATGCATATAAAAAATCATTTGCAATTAAGGTTGCTAGGCAAGAACAAAGAAGAAAAACTTATATTTCCCAGACCCGTTCTCTTGTTAGTAAAAAAAAGTCAATATCAAATAAAGTCTTTCAAAGTGTTGTAGCAAAAAAATTCAAAGCAAACAAAAATGCTTACACACCTGTAGGGATGGGGCAGCTTGGTTTGGTTTGGTTTGAAAAAGCGGTTTGAAAATTACACAAGATCTTATCGTGTGACATACGTGATAAATAACATTGTTATAATTAAGGTGTGACGAATAAGAAGCTAAAAAAGCAAAGATTTTCAAATAGTAAATACTAATACCGGATTATATTTATTTACTAATACTAATATATCAAGAAGGAAATTGACAAAAATTATAATAGAGATATTGAACAAAGAAAAAAAACTATAAAATAAAGAAATAATGGACCGGAAATAACCAATTGTCACATAAAATCCAATAAAATCCATTGATCAATTGTTTAATATTAATGAAATAAAAGATTGAAAATCAGACCCTTTTGTCATTTGGGTATATTAATATAGAATCGAAAAGAATTGTAACCTATAATGACTCTTGCCTTTTCACCATTTTGTAGTTTTGTCATTTTTCTAATAATATAAAAAGGTCAACTATTTCCTTGTGGTTGAAGCAATATTTTTGATATAATAAATACAAACTTTATAATTGTTGTAACAATCTTGATCTTGATCAATTGGTAAAATAATTCTAGTCGAAATTGGCAATTAATATATACTAATACCATATTTGGTAATGTAGAGAAATTCGTCTTTTTAAATTCACTATTACTAATTTGGCAATCGGGATTATTTGCGTTTTTCTTCAAAGAATTATGAATATTATTGTCCTGATATTTTTTAGGAGTGTTGGTGATGGTGTACAATGATTATTAATTATTATTATTATATTATATTTATTTATGAATGTTATCTTTATGATTAATATTTTCCAGGAAGTCTATAAGCTCCCATACAATATAGAGATTATTTATTTGTATTTTATGAATGTTATCTTTAAGATTAATACTTTCCGGGAAGTCTATAAGCTCACATACAATATAGAGATTATAATTTTATTTATTTCTTTCATGATCTATATTTGTATTTTAAGAATTGTAATTTTATTATTTAAAGAATCTAAATTTGAATAAAATAAAGATAACTTTTAATTTAACAACAATTAAATTACCTGTCCATTAATATTGTTAAAATAATTATAAATCATATTGCTTTTTCTTTCAAAATTAATAATTATATAATATACTTAGGTTACCTTTTTTTTTTTGAAATGGATGAACAAACTTTTAATAATCAAGAAATTAATGACTAC